TTATAGTAATAAATAATAACACGATGGTGGTTCTGTCCGGATATTGATGATCAACAACGAGAAATGACGAAGTGACAAGTTAAAGAGTATTAAAGTTAAGTCAACAATACATTGTTTATATATATATATATATTAAATTAATTACTTTTTCTTTTTTTCATAACGCTAATTTAGTCTTAAAACGAATTTTTATTTAAACCAAATTCCGTTTAATATATAGCTTTTGAAAATTGTTATGTTGACCGTATCCTCAATCCAAACAAATTTTCAAACCGTGAAATGATTTAATTATAATTAGAAAAAATGTAATAAACTACTATATCCTAAATAATTAAATTTTTTAACAAACTGATTTTAAATTTAATGACGGTTAAAATTTATATATATTGGAATAATTTTTGCTAATTTTAGAAATTTTATATCAGTATACATCGTCCTGACAAATGTTTAATCCAAAATCACGTGTAAATAAATTATTTTGAATAGATAAGTACTTGGTATTTTTTTTTACCTAAACTGCACTCATTATGGTTCAAACTGTTGGCTTACTTGCTCACTGTTTAACAAATAAGCCATCCAAAAAACAATTCATTCAACTGTGGAATGGAAGAAAATAAGATCTAAAAATGGAAATTCGATCAAAACAATCCACAAAAAAAAAAAATCTGGCCAACACATCTTACTTCGAGAAATGAATCATTATGGAAAATTGAGAAAATTGAAAATACAATGCAATGCGTCTTGCTCAATGGAGTTTTCTCTTCCCGGTGCTACGATTTCTCCTTCTCCGCACACACTGTACACAACGCACGTTCTTGCAGTGTACATGTGACATATTTGTAATCGGCGTGCGAAATAGTCTGTCAGCTCGCCCGTCGTATTCCTACACGGTGAACACGCAACAATCATGGTTGTCAATAACATATATTTTTAGTATCCCAGCAGACAAATATTGTGTAAGTTTGTATTATGACGTTTGAATTCGAAACGACGTTCCTACCTACGTATTATCCTTCGGCAGTTAAATAATTCGATTAGTTCGAAAGCAATAACCCCCCTATATTAGTGTTTACACACCAACCCCCACTCCCACAAGTCTACTGAAGTTGGTATAAGATTATAAAATTATATTATTATATTAATGTATTATACATACACCGGACTCTCGACCTATACGCGCACGTTCACCTTGACTACGCATAATATGTTGTAAATTGTAATCCCATCGACATCGTCTGATAATATATTATATACCCATACACATTTGACGGAAATCTATCGCGAGTTAGTTACCCGGATACATTATGGTTAGGTAATTATTCTTCTATCATTAATTTTTAACTATTATAGGTAATATTATGATATTTATTTATATTATAATAATATATCTCGTTAAAATATTTTAACCTTGATTGTTGAATCACGTAAATAATTATATCTTGTTTGGCTGTATAATTTAACTACCTATACTTTTGGGGTATGCGTCAAACTACAGATTTTGGATACTCAATCCATTGCATTTAGCCAATCGTTAAGGGTATTTATTATAAAATAATATACAATATTATAATAGGTACTTATTGAAAACGCCATATCACAAATCATAATATTATCGTGATATCGTTCACAATGCTCTCCTCTTCATTTACAGTTTAGCAGAAATATATTTTTACAACCGAACGGTTTGTATTGTGCTTTACATGTGTGCATACGTATAATCATAATATTATGATCGTTCGAATGAGTAGGGAAATTATGTGCGACGTAAATCTTGTGTTATTTACAATTATGAATTTATTTTAAATTTTAATGTACAATAACAATATTAATAGCTGATCCATAGCCAAATGCTATCATTGAAACAGTTTAACAGCGGCAGAGCTATACGGTCCAAATAATAATGTGTAAAAACATTATGACCGGTTTTGTTCATTGTGTGTATACATATATATATTATACTCCGAATTAGAAACAAATCATATTTTTATACTTTTTTTAGCGTTAGAGTGGACGAAAAGAGAAAGGATTTAACTGTAGGAAAATCAACTTTTACATTTAATTTCTTCTGTACAAATAAATTTTTATTAAGAATAAAATAACAATAATTAATTATCATTGTGGTGTTATTTTTACTTTAATACTATAAAATGAATTCATTATAAAACATTGATTATGACTGTATAGCAAATAAAATCGATGAAATATGGATTTATAAGTAGTATGATGCTTGAACACCTTAAATACCTATGGCTAATATACAAATAGTGCCCATCATTAAAATACGAGTAGCATATTTGTTTACTTTCGAATAAAACGTACGTGGTAGCTGATTAATATTAATTACATTTTATTAGTTAGGTCTGTATAAATTACAATCGACTTTATGAGCTCTACGCCCGTTTTTTAAATCTGATTTAAATAACATAAACAGTAAGTGATCTACGAATTGTGTACTAATTTTTTCCATCTGAATCTTGAAACTCGACCGAAAATAATTAGTGAAACACTTATTTTAAATACGAACTTTAAGAAAAAATATCGTAATCGTAGTATATAATTCTCAAAAATAGTCCAAAACAAATTTTAAATTTCTTTTCGATATTGGAAACCACTGCAAGCCATACTAGTGAGATATCAAGACATATTTTAAAGTATGTCACATTATAAGTACCTACACAAAAAAACTACCCATAATTATAAACAGTTTAGCATGGACGAATCTCGATACTTATCGGACAAAAACATTAATAGATCATAACTATGTATGCTCGTTTATTAAAGGTATCTGTAATATAGGTATTAAAACACAAAAATATTCTATACTTCTATCCAACCATTATTTACGAAGCTATATTATGTGAGTGACTTTCTTTGCGTTTATCGTCTTATTAATTGACCGTTACAAGTTTTCATAGTTGAAAATAGGTATTTTTTCAAGAAACGAATTTAAAATCCTTCCATATTAAGCAATGTCCAGACGTAGACATTCCAAGAACGCACAAGTTAGAGCAAATTTTGTGGTGAACCTAGCTGAGAGTATAATGTAAAATGTAATTGCAATGAAATATTGTATTGTAGGTACCTACATTTTTCTAATTATTAAAATAATCATAATGATCTTAGTTATGTATATATAACTTTTGTATGGGAGGGGAGAATTAATAAAAAGACATCACAAAATCATGTACAAGAAATAGGAATTTTAATGAATTAATAATGTCATAAAAAAGTTTATTGGTGTAAGCAATCAAAATTATTTTAGGTGAGGTTTAAGCCTCATGCATGTTTAATAGTATGATAGTTTTATCATTACGCTACAACATCAACTATCGAACGGTAATCTTAACGACAATATCTTTAAATTATGTATAATAATTAATAAATAATAATTCATGATATTAGCCATTAAAATTATGACTATCATCTATCATCGTAAGGACTCGGGTTATCAAGTGATGGTGAGATTGATGAATGAGGATTATAATATGTATTTAACTATACGTGTGCATACTATAATACAAGTATAAAATCGGTATAATGATGTATAGAGATATTTGTAATTTATAAAATAATAAGTATTATAATATTTATTTTTTTTTTATGAATACAACAAAAAAATAATTTAATTTTAACAAAAAAAAAAAAAAATATTAACGTTGAGTTCTATCCCCAGATAGCCTCCCTATTCATGTGTTTCATGTTGTGTATTTATTTATGTTCAAATTTGCTTATAATGCCTTGTATCATAGATTGTAAATATTCTTTTAATAAAAAAAAAGAAAAAAAAAAGAATACAACAATATTATAATTTTAAACTTTTTCTAAAAAAACATTATTTCATAAAAAAACATAGTGTGGTGGGGATCTAATCTCCCTCCACATCATTCTTTGTATAGGTATACACCCCGCTGAGCGATTGTGATAACTCAAGTCTTTTCGTCCGACTGAGTTCGGGGGAGTTCTTAATTTATAACAATAGTCCTGACACAATAAGTAGCTGTTAAATCGCTTGGTCTATGGGTATTGGGTATCTATAAGTAATACCATTGAGTATATAATATAGTATACTATATATATTCAATGGTAATACGTAGGCATGTGTTGGAACTTAGAATCACGCAATTGCGATCGTGTAAAGAGTACGAGGCCCGTCTACGCAGGTAACGTTACGCAAACCACATGTATAACAATAGACGAGTAGACGAAATATGATTTCCATTAAAAAGCCTGAAATAAAAAATATTAACACCCATAGCCATCGCCTTGACCTCACCAACCGTCGTGTATTATAAGCATAATAATAATAATACCTAAATAGCCTAATACTTAACAGTATTCGAAAACCACGACGTACATTTTAACAATATGATCTACTGTGTCGATCGCATATTGCTCCGCGGGATTAGACGTACTTTCGGAGTATATAATAACATATAGGTATTTGTTCAACCTTCGGCGTCCTATTGCAGTCGCTGTGACGTACCGACGTTACGCGCGCGTTATTTATCGAAACTCGGAGGCACTTTTTTCCGTAGGAGTACTGGATAATGTACGGGAATTTATATCCAGATTTTTTTAAACCTTTGGTAGAAATCGCGCACCATTGCAGAGTACAAGACGAGTTGCGGGGCGTTTTACCATATTGTCATCGTATTATGTATTCGTATTATAAAGCTATACAACAGGGAAATGCGGTAGTAGAGCAAAAGTTTTCTATTTTTAACAAACTTCTCATCCGAGATCAATTTTTTAACTTAAAACGCCTTTGTCCATGTCAAGAGTCACAATAATCATACAACAGTAATACTTAAGTGAGTACAATAAGTAAAACGACGAGCGGAGTCGCAGAAAACGTTATTTTCGGCGAGGTAAACTCTACGAATCATCGCCTTACCTATAACCAGCACATCATTAAGATCGACGAGACTTAAGAGTATAATAATATTACGTGGAAATATTATTTGGCAGATGAGGGGAGGCATGATATTAATTTAACTAACCTGGCTGAGGAGCGCACAGGGCGACCAGTACGATGACGGCCGCGGCCTGGATCCACGAGGAGGACTTCATCGTGCTCGGCCAGCCGAACTCGTCCGTAGCTGGTGCGTCACCGCCGCCGCCGTCGTTGTCGTCGTCGGGCGGCACATTATCACAATAACGGCGACGACCGTTGAAAACGCAGACGTAAACGGCCCGCCGCCAGCGCGTCGGCGTCCCGCGAACCGAACTTATTATAGTAACGGCGGTAAAAGGTCTAACGAAAATATTGTCACACACTTGTCACTTGCGCACAAAATTTTGACGCGACTTCCGCCGGACGAACTTCGTACAAGTTACGCGTACCGCGGACTACTAAGCGCTGAACACCGCCGCACACCGAGCGCACGCCGTGTTGTCGGCCATGTTGAATATTATTATTATTATTATTGTTGTTGTTGTCGTATAGCCCCGCCGCGGGTCTCAGCGGTTTTAGGTACCTACCTACATACCCTACCACTACTTTTATCATTATCATTATTATTATTATTATTAAAGCCCGTAGATAATAATATAATAATAATATGTACTGTGGCGACTGAGCCGAGTCGCCCGACCACTTTCTACAACGCGTTCCCCCCAACTGCTCCCCCCCACAGACGGTCGCGGTCATACAATCCTCTTATTCTGCTCTCTTGTAGGCCGCCGAGGAATTCAACCGCTGCCGCCGCCGTCGTTGTCGCAGTGGTTCGCAAAGCGCGCGACGGTTCGCTGCCGCCGTAAGAATTTATACCGGTTACCGGTTATATACTTGCAGCAGCGGTGTGCATTCTTTGCCGCCGCGGACGTCAGAAAGATTATGCAAACTCGATATTCGTCCGCCATAATATTATCATAAGGCGATAACGATACAACAGTACAGTATATAATATAATATTATTATACATATTGTGTGTATCAATCTGTTTAAGTATACACTTTCTACCGCCGACACGTTATTATCACGGCGTACGGGTGCGAGTCAATGACAATTTTTTTATTCCTTTGTACGATATACACGCTACGCCTACGTCAAACAAGGTGGCGACATTCGAAAATCGTCCGATTGTCTTACAAAAACCGTATTATGCCTATAAATAATAATATACACGAGTAAATATTTTGTAATTTCACTTTCACGCTGTTCATCGAGAGAGATCTCCACCTTGAACATTTTTTTTTTTCATCAAATAGTCGTGTTAGAATACGTCATGAATCATGATATTGGATATTTAATGTTAAACATACATTTTTTTTTTTTTTTAAGAAATCACTCGTGAATTACGAGTATGACGTGTCGCATACGGTAATTATTATTGTTAGATATAGTTAGAACTTAAACAATTTCACATTGTACTGCACGCACACTTATCGAATCAAAAATTTACAACAGGCGAAATATCGTGTCAATATTGACTAGTGATTGATGCTGACGTCCTGCTGGCAGCCTAGTATGGATTGGTGGGCATGGACCGATTGCACCTAAAACAAAGTTTTTATTTAGGATCAGTGTATCAATTGTGCTTGTATTTAAATTTTCCGATCTTCAAATATAAAAATATTGTTGTTCAATCTAATTCTATAAACAATCTACACACAAAAATGCTTAAAAATTAAAAACTTATTTATTGAACAATTGATTACTGATTTAAGTGACTGGTTATAATATATTTTACAACAGTATCGGGAATTTTACGAAACATAATTATTATTATGCACATTTGATCGTATAAGTATGAATTTGAGTGATAGACGAAAATAAGTTTTCATTAAGTATCGTTGGATATTTATCAGCCTAATTGTTTTATTGCACAATATATACTGTACTATATAGGATAACACATTGATGATAATATAACCGTTACTTATATCGTATTGTTTAGTATTAGTTTGAGTTGTTTGTTATTACAATATGGATTGTTTTAAGAAAGCTTTAAGTGAAAAAGGTAAACCATTGTTACTTCTCGATGATTTTAAGTTTCAAAAATGTACTAAATCAAAAAATGGAATTAAAGAAGGTGTACAGTTAAAACGTGTCCTTAAAATTTATTATCTGATGGAAGTGAAATGGTGCTTGTAAAATCTAACTATAATCGATGTGTGTATTAACTTATTGTATAATTATAATTAACTAATAAGTTTTCATTAAATATTTTAAAATGTTTTGAGCGCAATTGGTCTATTGACCCTAAAATGTATAGAGCGTAATTGATATATAAAATAGTAATTTTAAGCCCAATTTTCAAACTCCCGGATTGGTGTATGTCAAAGATGATAACGTTTTTCTAGAATTGAATTTTCAGTACTAAATCAGTACTTGATAACCTGTATAGGCGTTTGGTAAGGTAAAGTATTGTACCAATGGTTGCATAGAACTATTAATATTGTTATAATACTAATATACATATTATTTAATTAAATTCTACAAACTTAATATATTATATAATGGAATTTTAACACTGACGTTTAGTTTTTAAACAAATTATTTATGTTTCTAATTCACCTTTCTCTCATAACTACAAGCGATCATCCACCCTTATCACATACACACCATATAGTATATTATAGATATCACAAGATGATCATTCTTAATCGAGTATTTTTTTGAGCGTATAAAATTCCTAAAAATCTAATTAGTTGCATAACCATTTCTTATTTTCAGATTATTCAAACAATTTTTTTTTGAAGGTATATATTATTATATTAATATACATTTGAGCAGTTGCGGGTAATATTCAATTTTAATTTTAAACTAAAAATATAAACTTAAACTATACATTTACGAGAATTTTAATGTTAAAGTAGGGAGCTGTTTTTTGAACTAAAATTCAATAGTTTTTATTTTATATTATGAAAAGTATTTTTTAATTAATACATTTTATAATTTCGAACTGTGAGTATATCCATAATGAAAAAAAAAATTGTTGATAAGTGATAACTGATTAGAATATTATATTATTATTATTATTATTATTATATTATATTATTTAATGTGTTATTTTGCTAATTTACTGTCTAGTAAAATCCAAGTCAAAGGATAGGCAAAATATTGAACATTAATGTATGGCTTATTGATGGTAACTAAATTCAATGACTTGTTAATGACTTTAATTAATCATAAAAAATTAATTTGGTTTTCTGGTAAATTTTTTTATACTCTTATAGATTGAAAAACTTATAAAAAATCTTATATTCTAAATTCAAGTCTAAGGTATGTGTTTCTAATTACGAGATAATTTATATTTTTTGAGTTTTTCTAGCATGTATGCAATTTTCAAGGAGTTATAAACATTTAAAACATTTATAAATAATTTATTAACATAGAAAAAAGAAAAAGAATAAAAATAAAAAATTTCAATTGTTATAAGTAGTACAAAACAAGTTAGATTATTTTGGAAAATCATATTATAAATACCTACATTGTAAAATTTTCAAGTTTTTGTGATTATTCGTTTTGAATCATAACAAAAATTAATTTAGTTGAAATCCAGTTAAACGTAAAAACATCTGTTTTTCTTAATATTTTTTGTTTATTTTTCTAGATAAAAAAAATATAATAATAATAAAAATACTGGGAATTTTTATTCTAAAGCACTAAGTTATATTTAACAACTTATCGTGTATTCAACAAAAACAGAACACATCATTGTAAAACCAATATAATATCCGTTGTTCTAAAATAGTTTTTTTTTAATTCAGTATATTATAATAACAAGACAATGATCACTCTACTTAAAAAAAGTCACTAAATGTTTAATATATTATTTAATTATATTAAAAGATATCAAAGAATTTTAAATAATAATAATATAAAACAAAAAAAATTTTTTTTTGTTTTAACGTGATCATTTTTTCTTTCTGAAAAGTGTCAAACTAAAAATATGATTGTATTTTGCAATAACTATTATTCAGTAATAGTTCATAAATATCTAAAAATATTTAAGATAAATTAAAAAATACTATAATTAGTAAGTGTTCTTCAATAACATAATTCAAATCTAATCTAAAAATTGAATATTAAAATAAATAAAAACGATTTTATTTCAGTAACGATTTTATTTATTTTTTGAAATACAAAAATCAATTTCAAATTTATTTTTACTATAAGTACATTTAGTTTAAGAAATAATATACTAATTAATTGATTTTTTCATTTAGATAAATCAAAATTAAAAAAAAAAAAAACAAGCTACGTTATTAACAATATAATGTAAAAAATGATTTTCATTTTCAAAACTAAAAATGTATCTCCATATAATAGGAGTAATAAAACTCCTGAGGGTGTATTCAAAATTCTATCAGATATTAGATTATTTATAATAATACTTAATTATGAATTCAAGTATAAAATAGTGATTACACGGCGTATTGAATAGACAATTTAGATACATTAGAACACTTTGTGTACATAATAGTGTATGTAATTACAGTATCAATTATGGCCTAAGGAGTTCATGCTCTAAAAAACTATAGGATAAGGCATGCATTTATGCCCTTAAAAATTATCGTATATGCTCTAAAAATATACAAAAATGTTAAAATATGCTTTAAAATATATTTTGATTTTCATTAAAAAACTAAAAATAATAAATTTATTTATTACTAAATATAACATTTTTTTAAACATTTTTATTTAATTTTTACAATAAAAAAAAAAAAAAAACTGTATTTAGTTTAGAATAATATACTAACTATTAACGCAAGACAAAATCGTATACTATATACAAAAAGACGAATTGACATCAACTGATCGTATTCGTCGTATTCTTTATTGATCGATTTCGTGTTTTTTATAATAAACAAATAGTTGGGAAAACACAATGTAAATGGATTATTTAATAATTTATATTTAATTATTTTAATTTATTATTTTTCAATTTCTATTCATATTAAATATTGTATGTAGTATATATAAAATATTTTTCTTTATGTCACATTTTTTTTAAACTTTTTTAAAATTAAAATATATAAAATACAAATATAACAAAAGATACACTTTTAAGGAAAAAAGTGCTAAATACTAAATAGTAAATACACAAATAAAAATGATTGCTTTAAATTTCTAGTACTAATAAACAAATTTGTATATTACTTAATTTTGTTTTAAATTGTTATTCAAAAACATAAATACTCCTATAATTCCTTAGTCCTAATTATTATAGATTTAAAGGTTATGTAAAAACAAAATTATATTTTCATATTTTTAATATAATTTTATTATATTTATCATTTTTAAAGTACATTTTTTTTACCTAACCTATTCATGTTTCGTAGAACATGCTTAACATTTTTATGTGTGTAAAAAGTTAGGTTTAAGTTATTTTAAATAAATATTATACATTTTATTCAAAA